AATCCCAAATCCTAGTTATAGAAAAAAAAACTGTTATTTAACGAAAAGAATGAAAAAGAAAATGAGTTTTCTGAACAAGGCGTGAGGTGCTCGGTAGATGATTATGATTTGGGCAAGGAGCGGTGCATTCCAATCCTAGCCTCCCAGTGGAAAACGTGTCTTGTGAGTTTCTTAGAATTGCCCAACTCGGCTGCAAACTCATATAAAGATCTGAATTCTGTAGGCTGTCGATGCATTCTTTCTGTCTCAGCCTTGTTCTATTGGGCACACTTATGGGAAACGCACAAAGGGCTTTCAAATGTAAACAATGAAAGCTGTCATGGGGCCATCAAACTTATTGTAGTGACCACATACATATTGGCATAACATGGCTGACTGGTCCAAAACATCACCACCCCGAAATCACAGGTTGCCATGTTTATAAATGCCCCCAAAGTTAAGACAGTAACAATTTCCCCAGGTTCGGGTTTGATCTCTAAAATGGTTTTCAAAAAGGAAGCACGTGTGAGTGTATTTGAGAGGCATAGATGGCTGAGTGTTGTTCGCACCTGGCATGTGAGTACTCTGGATCTGACTTTAGCCAGTAAGCAAGTGAAATTCAGGCTGGCAGCGGGGGTTATTCCTGGGACTCTTGCCTTTGAGATCCTCCTCTCCATTCTCTCTTGCTCCCCTCATTTCTCACCTCCTACAGATGGCATGGAGGACAGGGAGCCTGGGGTTTTGCTCCGCCTGCGTGCACAGCAATTTGACTTGCTTTGTTTTTTGTTTTGTCCCTCTCTAAAGGGTAAAGATGTTCCCACATTGTTGCAGGACTGTACTCCTTTATGCCCCGACAATCATGAGACAGCCTGGGAGACTGAAAGCCTCTCGCCCTGGCCCCTACCCCCGCTAGAGAAAAATTGCTAGACAGAGCTGGGTTTGTTCCGGAGCCTGGGCGGAGCGAGGCTTGGAGAGAATTCCCCTTTTCTGGGGCTGCTGGATGTCTAGATTTTGAAGATTTATATCGAAAGTGACAAAAGCAATGTTATCAGAAGGTGGGTTAAGGCCCCTGCTCTGTTTTGAAACCAATGCACAAACAAACAAACACTGAAACGGATGGCTGGGCCCTGGACCACCTCTCGGATGGCTGCTGTATGCCCTGCCTTGGACTTGGGACCTTGGACTTGGGACATCTTTTAAATTTAGGATGGGCCAAGAGTGGAAACAAACTTCAGGGCTTCTCTGATTTTTCCTCAACACAACAAGGCATTCCCCTCCAAATTACTCATTCAGAGTCCCGAGGAATAATCGGGAGTGGTAAAAAAAAATATATATATATGTGTGTGTGTGTGTATATATATATATATATATATATATATATATATATATATAACACATCACTATAGATAAAGCTTCCCTAAAAAAAATGAAGATCTTTCTTCAAAGAAAGGGGTAAGATTATTATTTAAAAATATACCTATAGAATGAAAAAAATCGCCTTGCAAATCAGCGATCTCAAGCTGGTGAGTCTGGCTCGCTCTTCCCTCTTATCGCCTGTTTATTTGGGGAGCAAGGCCCCAGAGCCTGGCTGCGTGTCTTACTGACACAGAAATCAGACGGCTGAAGGTTGTCACTCACGTATTTTAGTCTTCCGATCTATGTCGGTTAGTCTTTAACTACTGACAGGCAACAAATAGAGATACCTGTGTGGCAAGCAGACTTTTAAATTTATTGATTGGCCTAGAACACCGGAGGAGTGCATTTTATAAAGCCAAGAGTGTGTGAATACGGAAGTAAGTTGGCTTTGACAAAACCAAAGCGGCAACAGAAGCCTCCCCCGTACTGTACTTGAGAACCTCTGTGTGTGTCAAGCCACTTCGCTTATTTCGTTGAGGGCAATGCTAGGAATGGAGCTGCTGTGACAGCTGTGCCCATGTTTGTGAGGGTGGCTACCATTTGCCCTCTGCTCACCGCGCTGAGCAGTGAGGCTGGTGGTTTGGCAAGAGGAGATCCTGTTTAAGAACAGAAGGATCTAGAATTGAGGCTACTAAATAAAAACTAGTGGGCGAAAGGTATAAGGGTGAAAACATCAAGAGCATTAGGATCTAGCGTTCAGTAATAAATACAGAGTATTCCCCCCAGCAGCTGCCTGTGTTGAAAGGGGCCCAGGTGGTTATGGCTGTGAGACAGATAAATAAATATGATACTGAGACATCATTTCCTCACCAAGACCAGGAAGTGGAATCTCTGCCTATTTGATGTCAATCTATTAATGTGTCCGATACATTGTAAAAAAATTATCACATGGTTTTGAAAAAGGAGACATGCAAGGAATGGCAGGGAGGGGGATGGGAATTAAAGGGACGTGATTTTGTGAATGTTTGAGAACAGAAAAGGGAGAGGGAAAGAAAGCACACAAGGAAGGTGTGTATTTAACTTAACTTTGTATTTTGCCACACGTTGTTTTCATTTATGGCTGTGTCTGGTAAATGAACACATTTGACATCGCTCATAAATACAATACTACCTAGAGCCTACGAGAAAGCCAGGGTGCTGAGCCCCACTAAAGCTTCTGCCCACGGCATCTGCTTGGGGCAGGGGGAGTCAAATATATTTTTTTTCTTCTTAGTAGAATTATCTGCCAGAGAAACAATGAAGCGTGAAGAAGTACTATTTAGAGTGTTCATCTCTACATATACTTTACAAACGCTAGCTGCTACCTTCTGGGATACTTCCTTTCCTATCGATGTCCATGTATCTATCTTTTAAATTTCAGTGGCTTTTTAAAACTAACAGGGCAGGATGAAAACAATCACACCTATGCAGTTTCGTGCATCTTGAGCCAGAAGCACCAGTGCACTCTCTTATGGGTCTGTACAGACGACTCTCAGACAGGAGACATAGTTCATTGGTATGGAGGTTATGTATTTAACAACCTTCTTTAACGCAAACATTTTTCTTTAAAAAGGAGACTAGACAGAAGTCAGGGGCAAGCTGTATTCTACCACTGCAGATAATGCTACTACTACTGACAATGTATTTTTAATGCACAGTTCTCACATAAATTTCATTTCATGAATACACTGGTAAGTACGTGTTGCTGGGGCTTCCAAAATGTGGCGTATCCCACTGATGGCTCCAACTTGCGAGTGGGCTCAGTTCTGTAATTGGAATGAAAGGAATTTTAACACTATTTAGACAAAGACTCAAATTCAGTGTAAAGGGAAAGTAAGAGTTCCTAATATGATTTTTTTCTTTTAAATTTAGCGACTTACTTGTAATAGGGGCACTTACACAGGATTTAGGATTTCTTTGTTAAAAAAGCATGTATTTGTGTTCAGCACTCCACTCCCTTTTAAAGTTTTTAGTAACGATTATTTCTAAGAACGCCTTTCACTGGGCGCTAGCCTTTTCGTAAAGCCAGACGCCAAAACCCCATTTTTGCCAGCACCCCTCTATTTTGCCTGCTAATCTTTGGGGCCAAAGCCTTCTTATCATATTGAACTGCCTTGTAGGGTTCTGTAAAAAAAAAAGGCCTAATTGTTGCCTAACTGTATTTTTCTCCCAAGTCGCATTCTTCGTGAGATAATTGTGATAACTCTATCCTGAATGTCACTCTTATTTTAAAATTCGTATTTGCCTAAAAATCTGTCATCTGATGCTGAGCTTTTTGCATCAGTGGCATCTTCATTGCTGCTTCTTCAGGGGGTTGCTGCCTATCTCCTCCTTGGGATCGAAGAGAAGAAAAAAATATCTATGAAGCAGAGAACAGCTAACATCTAGCACACGGAAGTGAGTTTACTCTTAAGACTTTTGTTAAGCAAAATTAAGTGTGGATTTGGGAGATTATCTATACTGGCACGGAAAGGAAGGTCAAAATGTACAGGGTATGTGCTGTCTGTGAAAAAAAAAAAAAAAGGGGAAGGAAGACAAGATGATAAACCGGCCAGCACTCATCAGCGCCAAGCACAACCTGTTTTCTTCAAAATAAGGCCTTCAGTCAGAGTTGCAATATTATCTTTAAAAAAAAGGAACGGAAAATGAAATAAAACAAAAGTCATCATGTTTGGCTCCATTTTCAAAACAGCCTTGGCTTTCTCTAACATTCTATTGGTGTTCTAGGGGAAGTTGACCAAGAGTTGCACGAATTTGTGTCATTTTAAAATAGGTCAGTGCTGTTCGTGAAGGTAGCTCAAGACTTTCGGAATGATACACAGTATATTTTAGGGGGTAGATACCAATAAATCAAAGCATAGCCTTTATTCCATTATTTTTGGAGTGTATTTCATGAGCGAAGGTGATCTGAAATCATTACCAGCTTGTCTCAGTGGAGAAACCTCCACTAAGTGTTCACAGGGACATAGGATTTAATAACAGAGTTTAAACACAGAAAATGTACTTGGAGTTCCGTAAGTGAGGGGTGGATTTTTCTTTTCCCTACTGAGGAAAAATGACCTTCAAAGTTAAAACACAAACAACTTTGATTTGTCCAAAGTGTTGATGTTAAATCTTGTCAGGCCTTGCTAACAAGAAAATCATGGTGTGCACGGGGAAGAAGGGAAAATAATCAATTTCACCCCCCAAGCAAGAATCGCTGGTCTTTACCATTAAATGCATAGGCACCTAAGCCACCTCCTCCATGCCCAATTTTCCCGGCTTATTTCCGGCTAGATGGGCAGCAGGCTGGGTCAGACGCTCAGGTCAATGCTGAGAAGGTCCTGCTTTATGGCTGGGAGTTTTGTTTGTTTTCACCAGAGGGCAATGATAGCTCAAATCATTTAAAAACTGAAAACTTTGGTGGTGGTGTTAGGGGGGAGATTTGAGAGGTCATCACTTACATTTATATTAAATATTGCTAATTATTAAAAGGTACTGGCCTCCCGCCTCACAAAACGGCCTATGTTTCACTCTGAATTATTGCCTCCCTACTCCTCCATTAATCCTTCGTCTGGAGAAAAGGATGCATTTTACACTTCTAAAGCGGTGTTGGGCCCAGTTAAACTGTACACTAAGAAACTGAGTACAGAATCAAAAAAAAATGCAGTTTATTATTGTAGATTATTCTTTCTCTTGATATAACCAGAATTGAAAATGAAAGAAAAGCACATAGGAACATCACGCGTGGTTAGTTAGTAACTCAAGGTATAAAACAATTTTGCACAGCAAAATATGTAAAAGAAAAGTAACTGACAAGATTTTTTTATATTTATTGTGGTAAGATTTACTTTTCATTTTTTTAAGACAGGATGTCAGTCCCTGAAAATAACATTTACTGATTATTGCCTTGAAAACTGTGGATTTTTTTAAGTTACAGAAAATCCAGTTCTGCACCACAATACAACTGTAAAAAAATCTGCATCATTTTAAAACTGTGCAGTAATGCCATTTTTATAACTGCATAAATTTTATTAGCGTTCTAAACAGTTTTGCAATTTTTTTTGTATTATATGCTTGCAGGTTATATCTTAGTGCAATTCAGTCCCAAATACTTTAATTTTGAAAAAAACATACATTTTGAATGTAAAATACCCCTACAGATATAAACAGGGGTGTTTCCCCTTTTAATACTTTGGTTTTCAATACAGTCAGTGGTATAGCAAAGACTACACATACCCAACTTATATTTAAGTTGCAAGCACATGCTGTATAAGCTACTTTTTAAACAGTCCCCTTGCAAACTCTACCCCCCTTAACATCACAACAGTAAACAATTTAGTGCATCAATCTTTTAAAAAATCTACAGCTAAACAGACCTAACTCTTTCAAATTTATCTATAACATTCCTTTATCTGTAGCATACATTTTAACTGGGCTAACAGATTATAAAAACTAGAATTAAATTATATACTAGAAACCCATAGCATTCCACATTTGACAATGACCAAAAGCCAAAAAAAAAGATAAAATAAAAAAAATAAAATTAAAGAAACAAACAAAAAAAAAAACAACGGGGCAGATTTCTTTTTCTTAAAAAATAAATTTTAGACTGCTTTCGGCAACAGCACAATTTGAGTCCCCAAAGTGAGGTGTCATCTTATTAAAAAGAAAACATTAAGAATCCTTTAATGTGTGCCATGTCAAATTTTTACCCCATTCTGGCATCTTTGATAAGGGATGCCTTCAGTGCATTTACAATGGGAAGCTGAAGTTCTGAGTAACTCAAAGCAGTTTTGGAGCAGATGCAAACTTTCATGGGAAGAAGGCTCTAGGGTTGCACTTTTTCGTTCTGAACTCAAAGAAGTCATGAGGCAATAAAACAAAAGTATGAATGCCATGCCATACGTCTTCGAACGTCCATTTCCAAGCCAAAAGGAAAAAAAAAAGAAAAATAATTATACCGTACATGTCCAGCATGCAGGCTTTTTTTATTAATATAATGTCTCTTTTCCATAAAGTCTTTGAAACAGTTATCGTTCATTGTTGCTAAGAGAAAGTAGCAAGCATAATAATGCATGAGATGAGAATGAGTTTTTTAATGGCAGACTAAACTCTCAGATTTGGCATCATAAGGCCAAAACTCGCAAGTCACACCCAGAAGGTTGATGCAGGCTTGATTGTGGCAGGTTCATGAGGATTTTTCTCTATTTTAGCATAACAGTGCTAAAAAAAAAAACCCGATGGAACTCAGCACGCTGCAAGTCTCTAACATTTCACATTTTTTTTTTCCTTTGCAAGCTCAATCTCACATGAAGAACTCAGGAGAAGAAAAAAACTTAGCTCTTTTTTTCTTTTATCTCAGAGGAGATGGGTGGAGAGGGAGTGAAGGTGGAGGTTTGGAAAAAAGGGCAACACAGCAAGCTCAAAAAAGTAAAATTAAAAAAAAAATAAAGTCCAAACAAAATGAAAACACACACAGAAAATGGAACACCAGCTCATGAACTGAAGAAGAAAAAGAAAAAAAATATGTAAATGATGCAGGCTTCAAAGGTGAGCATGAAGAACTCTGCAGAGATCTTTGAACATTGTGCAAGGGGGGGGGAGTTAAAAAAACAAGCTACCAAGTTATGGAGAATTTCAGATTGGCAATCCATGAGCCAGACATCCATTCCCTCCCCAATTTAAAAAACAGCCACCACCACCAACCAGCTAGGAGCAGGGTTGTGTGTGTGTGTGTGTGTGTACGTGTGGGGGGGGGGCAAGTGGGGGGGGTGTGGAACTCGGTAGGGGAATGGGCAAGGTGGTGGCGAGCATGGCTCTGGAACTAGCAAGCCCGCACCCGAGTCGGACCCCCACGGAGCACTTATCAAGGTGGCTAGCTGGGATCGCGTGTCAGACTCACATGAAAAACTCGGGAGAGGACGGGTTGTCGCTGCTGGAGCCGTTTTCTCGGAAGCCGCTGCTCACCAACTTCTCGTATTTCTCCTTGTACGCGTCCCTCTCGCGCACGAGCCTGGAGATCTCCTGCTTGAGGTGGTCGACCTGCTGCAGCAGCTGGTTCTTCTCGGACTCCAGGACGTGTCTCTGCTGCACCCTCTTGAAGCGGCAGGACTGGGCATAGCCGCGGTTTTTCAGGGTCCGCCTCTTCTGCTTCAGCCGGATCACCTCCTCCTTGCTGACCCCGCGCAGCTGCCGGTTCAGCTCGCGCACCGACATGGTCACCAGCTGCTCGTCGGAGAAGCGGTCGTCGAAGTGCAGGCCGCCGGCGGTGTGGTGCGGGTGCAGGGTGCCCCCCGCCCCCGCCGCGCCCCCGCCGCCGCCGCCGCCGCCACCTCCGCCGCCGCCCCCGGCGCTGGCCGGGCCCCCGCCGCCCGTGCCGCCCGCGCCACCGGCCGAGGCAGACGCACTGCCCGCGGCGCCCGGCGCGCCGGCCGTCGGGTGGTGGTGGTGGCCGGCGGCGTGGTGGTGGTGGTGGTGGTGGTAGTGCGGGCCCGCGCCGCTCTGCGCAGCGGCCGCGGCGATCACGGCGGACACCACGGCGGCGGCGGGGCCCATCTCTTCACCGCTGCTGCCCAGGGAAGCGCCAGCGCCGGCCCCGGCCGCCGAGGCCAGCTGCTGCGCCCCGCGCGCGTAGCCATCGAAGCCGCTCTGGAGCTGGTGGCTGTTGCTGATGAGCGCCTCGACTGCGTCCTCGGGGCTGAAGCCCAGCGCCTCGGGGTTCAGCTGCTGCGGGTAGCCGGTCATCCAGTAGTAGTCTTCCAGGTGCGCCTTCTGCTCGCTGCCCGAGCCCGGGCTGGGCGCCGAGAAGCTGGGGGAAGGCGGCACCGAGCTGCACGGCGTGCTCATGGGGGTGGAGGACAGCGAGCCCCCGGCGATGAGACGGCCGCACTGGCTGATGATGCGGTCGGTCTCCACCGGTTCCTTTTTCACTTCAAACTTCATCAGATCGAAGTCATTAACATATTCCATGGCCAGGGGACTGGTGGGCAGGTCGGAGTTGCTCATTGCCAGTTCTGATGCCATTCTCCTGCCGCCGCCGCCGCCGCCGCCGCCGCTCCGCCAGATGGGCTGCAGGAGAGGGGCCAGCGGGCTGTGCTGGGTGGCCAGCGGGTGAGCCAGCTTGCCGGGCTGGGGCGCTTCTAGCTAGCGCGGCGGTGGCTGGCCCGAAACCTCCGAGCGCGCACACACCCCCCCGCCCTGCCCGCGCCCCCCGCGTCCGCCCTCCCTCCCCCCTGCTCACGCCAATGTGCTCGCTCGCCCCGGCCCCTCCTCGCCTGCTCGCCTTCGTGCGCGCCGAGCCAGCGGCTTCAGGCTCGGGAAGGTCCTCCGCGGGCTGCGGTGGCGGCGGCGGCGAAGCCGGAGGAGCCCGGCCCGGAGCGCGGCGTCCCCAGCTCGCCGCTCCGCTGCGCGCTTTGCATAAGGAGGGCTCGCCTAGCCGGCCGGGCTGCAGGCGGGGCGCGCGCGGCGGCAGCTCTGGGCTGTCGGCTCGGCTGGCTGCTGTCCGGGCGGCGCGGGCCTTGGCACGGGGGAGTTAACACTTCATGCTTCTCGCCTCCTCTTCTGCCTGGCTCTTTTTATTTTTTTCTTTCCTCTCTTTCTCCCGCGCGCTCTCTCCGTGCAAAGTGCAAGACAGAGGTGCAGCCGGCTGGAGGAAAGGGAGGGGGAGTTTAGTTCTTTCTTGCCTTTTTTTTTTTAAAAAAAAAAAAAAAGCAAAATTGCGAAGTCCTGGGGAAAGGCGAGGCAGAGAGCAAAAGGGGGGTGGCTGAGCCGACGAGCAGCCCGAGCTACAGCTCGAAGATGAAAAAAGATTTTAAAGCCTCTGATCCAGCAAGAAGAGTTTAAAGCAATTGCTGAGTTTTATAGCACTTGTGACGTCAGGCCCAGATGGGAAATTGACTGCTACTCCGGGCCAATGGGAAGCAGCAAGAGCGGCCGCGATTAGCATAATAGTATAGAAACAAGGAAACTTTTCCGAGCTGTCAATCAGGGCCCAATCAGCTGACTGTCAGCTGGGACGCACAGGCTTAACCCTTCCAATGCCGCCGTCTCCCAGGGAGAGAGCAAAACCAGGCGCAAAGTTTGGTGCAAGAGGGGAAAGAGTTTTCCAGAGGGGCTGCAGGAACCCGCGAGGATCGAGAGAACGGTTTGCTTTACTTCGGAGTTCGACAGAGGCCTGCCTTCCGGAGCCCCAGCTGGCCCGCTATTCACTCTGCCTGACTGCCCTCCCCTGCCTGCCTCGGTGCCCAGGATTGTGAATTAGCCTGACAGCCTTCCCTCCTCGCTCCACCTTCGGCACCCAGGTGTCTGCCTCGGGGACCTTCCTTTCCCCAGCCTGGCTGTGCCCGGAGCTCAAACTTGCTCCCAACTCTTTGTCCCTCTCTCGGTCCCCGCGCGCGGAGTTGCAGGCGTCCCGACTGCGCGCAGGACACTGTTCAGCTGCCCTGCGGCCGGGGTGGTGCGGGGTCCGCGGACCAAGTCCGTTTTAATCACCCTGTTTTATAGGAAGTGAAATAAGTTGTTCAGGGGCCATTACGCTCAGGGACAGGCTGCTCGCAGACGTCGTGTACCGTACCTAGGGGGTAGCGAGCGCCTACGAGAGTCAACTCCGGGAAAGCTCAGAGTCAGGTCAGTCCCGCTCAGCCCTCCGGCTTCCGACTCTGGCTCGTTTGACCTTTGAGATTCATATTCATTTCTCTCTCTCTCTTTCTCTCTCTCTCTCTCTCTCCCCCCTCGTCCCCTGTCACTCACACACATTCTTACACACACATTCATACACAGGCTCAACCACCCCTAGGAAATCTGACCCCTGTTTATCAGGGTCCACGCGCCCTTTGCACTTTTACGTTTCACTAATTGTCTTATACTTGATCGTGGAGAGGAACTAGGGGGGGAAACAACACCCCAGACTTCGCAGCTCCCCGCGAAGGGTTAAATTTTAAACCGCGGTTTCTCGGACAAGCCCGGAAACCCAGAGTGGGGGTGGGGTGGGGAACTGCTTCTCCCCCTCCCCGTTGCAGATGCTAATAACTGTTCAATGTTCTAGATCGATTCTTTTAAAGCTTATGCAAAAAGAAAAAGGAAAGAGAAGAAAAAGAACTAACAACTCTGTTTCTAAGATTTTAAAGCGATAGGCAAGTCGGAGAGACCGAGATTTTATTTGGGGGAAAGCAAGAGCGCGCGAGTGGACCCGGCGTTTGGAGACCAGCCTGTCTGCTTGCTTGGATGCTGGGACTGTTGATTCCTCCAATTAATGAAATGTATTTGGTGTTAATAATATACATACTTTTACTGTCTGGGTGGGGGAGACGTTAGGAGGGTGCATTAAAAAAAATTCTGAAAAGCCTGCAAAAGGATCGAAGAGTGAAAACTATTGTTGGATCGAGTTGGTTTTTACCTCAACAGCGCCACCTTTCGGCAAAGGTCAGTTGAAATTGATCCGTGTCCAGTTTTGTTGATGTAGTGAAAAGAAACTGGTTTCCCAAAATGGGAGGAGGAAAGAGGCACAGAAAGTTAGTGTGACTGCAGTGGGAGAACCTGACCTTGTAGAAAAGTGGCTGAAGACAGTGCGGGCAGATGCGAGAGTCATTTCCCCCCCAGTGTCCCCCTTGATTGTCGATCAAGGGGCCAGGGGATATAGAAGCCTTCGGAGTGTAATTCTGGCTGAGAGACTTTTAGCAAGTGGATCCCCTGTAACAGGGCCTCAAACCCTTTAAAAGTGTCAGGATGCATTTCCAGCGGGCTTTATGGAAATATCAATAGAATTAAAGTTTCTTGTAATTCAGTGATAAATGAGATGCCTCTAGTAAGTAAGATTAAGTGCAGTGCTATAAAGTTGTTTATCTGAAAAGTAATTCTCAGAAAACCTGACTTCTGACACTTAGTCATATATTAAGCCCGCCTCTTGAACATTGCACTTCAGAACGCTCTCACCCACCCCACAGCATACTTTACTATTTATAACGAGAACTTAGGTGTCGCTCACTGGCTTCAGACACCAGATTATAGACTTGTGTTCATTTCTGTGATGCTAGCAGCCTTCAGTTTCAGCAGACCCCCTCCAAAAGAGGTTTGTAGGCACATCGTAATCCTAAAAAGCCAGTGCTGTTGGTGTTTTTCAGAAAACGACCTTTTCTTTTCATCATTACTGCCGTGAATCTGTTTGTAAGGGTAGTTTGGTTTTATGGAAATACTTTGTAGCGATGGAGTGAAGTATGTCTAGTACCAGTTTGGAGAAGAAAGACTGATGGCTATGTCAATATTTAGGCAACCTAACAGAATTCCTTTGCTTTCCACCCCTTAAACAGTATTTCACTTACTAATGAAGTTAAGGGATTATAGCTTATTTATTCAGAGGAAAATCTTGAACTACATAAACATATTATGTCATTTAGCATTGTTCATAGCAGTAGCTTTCTAGGCTCCTTAAAAATCATTAGCCACAAATGTCTGAAATTTACAATTTTTCATATAAAACATGAATTTAAATGTAGTTAGGAAGAATTGATCCTTTTTTTTGTTTATGATAACTGTTTTTTATCCTTTTGTGTCACATTTTTGTTAAAAGCTGTAAGAGATGTTATTTGCCTCTCATGAAAGTATTTTTGGCCAGGAACACTGAAACTTCTCAATTCATAAACAACATTTATAAACAAAGTTTGCTCTTGATGAAGACCATGCAATAGCAATTCACGGCCATGCACCTAATTATTGCAATTATATATCATTTCTAGAAATTAAATGCCCATGTTTGGGCAGTAAATGTATTATTATCTGCACATTTTTCATGGTTTATTTTTGTACATTGCTGTTAAGCCATGGTATTTTTCTTCCTCTTATTGCAGATTCTTACAGTTTCCCAGTTTTTCTTGGAAAAAAAAGAGGATCAGAATTATTTTTTAGATGTGTAGTAGGAGCACTCTCAGGCTTATCACTTAATTCTCATTTCTGTCCTTTTTATTTTATTATTTAGTGATTCACAGGGGTGTCTAAACATTTACAGTTCTCTGTGAGTGGCGTTTCTTTCCCAACAATTGAGCTCTCTCATTTCAATTAGCACTATTCAGGTTTTTGATTCTGTACAATTACAGCCGGCCACATTTCCGGCGACTTCGTTGCTCACACTGTCTGTTTCACTTCTCCCCAAGCCCAGCTAATCCAAATATGACAGGAACCGTGTTTTCGTGCTGCTGAATATCCCCTTGCTATATATATGCTAGTAATCTCCGTAGAACAATACGGAGTAATTTCGAAACCATGCATTTGTCATTATTGACCAATTCCAACCAGTGGCATTAAAGTTTCTGAAAGCTGTGAATATTTATAGAAGAATTTTGGGAGGGAGAGAGGGCATGAGTCGAATCATGTAGATGATTGCGAAACAGTCACATCCAAAACACAGTTGTAGATTCATGTTAGTACATACACAACTATATGCAAAAAAAAAAAAAAGAGAGAGAGAAATCCTGTTCATATCCAAATCACAGTGACTGAAAGCTTAGAAACAATGTATGTTTTTTCTAATGGTGAGGTACCCCTATTCAGGTATGTCAGGCTGGAATCAGACATAGATAACCTAAAAAGAACAAAATGCATTAAGTGTAGTGGCTGCGCTCTTTGTTTCTCCAGAAGCTGCTTCCATGGTACGGAGCTAGCCAGAGTCCACTGAATCTCACTGTGAAACCGACTAAAGGGATTGGAGAAAAGTAACTGAACGATAAGGCATAGACTGGTTTTAGGTTGGATGTTAGATACATCCTTTTAACAGTCTTTAGTTAGCTGGGTAAGTAAATCACAAATCATTGTTAGCAGATTCATGGAAGAAAATTAATAGAATCAGACGAGATAATCTGATAAGGGCAAACTTGCTGAGGAAACAGTCTTGCCTCATGTTGCAGAATGTGAAACAACAGTCTGATTACTAGGAGTCGTTATGAATAGGTGAATTATGTGCTAAATAATCAGCAGAGTAATTCAGCATTTATTAATTCTTTTCTCTTTAAGCGATTCACAGTTGTAAGTTAAAGCCGCTCGCTCTTTGAAGACACATCTTTTATAATTTTTATTGGAGGTAATTTATTATTTGCATTACCTGTATTTACTTCATCATTGAACATTTTGCATTCAAATTTATGTAATGCATTATGCTTGAGAATATATTTCTGCCTGATTAGCATAAATAGTCACTTACCTCATGAATTACTAACAAAGTTTATCTTAAAATATAGGTCTTTTTATTAAGTGGAACACAAACATATGTACAATAAATTCTGATTTTCCGGTGCCGTTAAAGAACAACTCGCATTTGGTTTCGGCAAAACGAGGCTGAAAGGGCGGGTGCAAGCTGCAGAAGGAGGCAACGTTCAGACAAGTGAGGTCGGTAGGTTTCTTTCAAGGGGCTGTTATTTAGAGGGGGTGCCTGCCTGGGGTGGGCTGGGGGCAAAGTGCTGGGAAAGGGACTACGCTCTCCCTATGCTGTTTAGATTGCTTCCTGGATGATCTCGACGTGGACTGCGTGTCCTGAAAACACCTGCAACTCATCACCTACACCTTCGTGAGGGGCCGTGATAGAAAGTACATCTCATGCACAGAGTGTGGGTTTGCTTATTTTATGTCTATTTTATTTGTTTGTTTGTTTGTTTGTTTGTTTGTGTCTCCCTAGAGTTCCACTGGAGAACACAATACCCATTGTTGGTTTTGCACAAGAGGTGTGAAAAACCCCGATGTTTTCTCAAGTGAGAATTCCCGGGCAGGTCTCCCAAAATGTGCTCAGTTCCCTTTCTGTTCTTCACCTGAAAAAGACACCCAGTCTTTCCAGCAGGCAGAAGGCAATTAATAATAGTTTTGTGCAAATATGAACATTTGGACTTCTATTGGTTTAAGGGCAACAGACAGAAAAACAAAAGGACAAGCCTCTTTGCCCACTCGGGCCATTCCAAATTAGCAGGTCCCCATGCTGCCTTTTTTCTCCCGTTCCGGTTTCAATGCGTAGCCCTCCCTTTAGGGACTGCTTCAATTAGGGACTGCCTATGATTCACTCCTCCATTGTCATCCCTTTTGATCCTATTCACAGCTTACACCCATGAGGGAATTTGTCTAGAAAGCATTCAACCCTTCACACATTCTTACTGGGATGAAATTAGAACTGATTTTTAAAAAGGGCACAAATAAAAAAAGGGACCTGATATTGGGACAGTGTTTATTAGGCTACGTCTTTTATGCCTGGTAACTCAGAGGACCAGGTGTCGGTGGTGCCAGCTCGGTGGTGCTAGCTCTGAAAGGTTGGGTCGCTCTCCTGCCCCTGGGGATGGGGTGACTCACAGGACCAGCTCCGGAGGCATTTAGCAGCCATTCAACCTGGGAAATGGAAGCTGGATTTTTAGAAAACACAGACTAAACTTAACTGCTTGTGTGATTACCAGGAGGAGTGTGTCGATGCAGACGATTGCTGAATTGGTGTGCTTCTGAGTAAGCTTGGCCGGGGCCCGAGGGAAGGGACCCCTTGTGGCTCTGTTTTATATCTCAGTTCTTGGTTGCATAATGGGTTTTGCTGGGCTTTCTCACACGCTGTTCTCCTCCTTGAACACACCCGACGTACCTGGGGCCACTCTCCCAGCGTCACGCCTCACTATAGTGCTCCTGACCCGACAGAGAACAGAGAACTGGGCTAAACGACCCTCCTCACATTGAAACTTAAAGTCACATCTATACACACTTTGCTGGTGTTTTTATTTAGTTATTTTAAAGCAGTGATGCATGCAATCTGTTAAATACACACGTTTGAACGAGACAGAGATAGGAAGATATCAAACAAAAGAACTACTATGTCTCATCTGCACCCCGATCTAATCCTGGTCTCAGGTGTTACCATCTGCAATAATTGAGGCCCATGCGTATACTTTTTACAGAATGGAACCATGATATGCATACAGTTCTTTAACTCAGGTTTCCTACAAAATGTGTATCTACTTTAACCACAAAAAGTGGATCGGAGCACCCCTCTTTTTGGTGGCAGAATTCATATAATAGACTCTCAGACTGGGGTGGGTGAGGAGTTTAGAGATCTGACCTTAACCCACTCCTCCCAATCAATGATCAGAATCTTTTTACGGCATTCTGGCACATGAGCGGACAGCATGCAAGATCAATTTTACTAGGCCCAGCAGACATGGTGCCTAGGACCCATGAGGCTGTTCAGAGCCCAGGAAAACATTTAAGTTTCTTCTAAAATCAGAGGGAAAGAAATAAATATAATGTAGCATGGATTATATCTGTTATTTTAACAACATAGTTATATAATTAAATTTTTATGGAAGAAGGGAACCACAGAAACCAAAGTGACTAGCACCCACAAAAGTCCAAGTGTGGTCCCCACAGCATGCACTTGAATGCCTACAGTGACAGGGTGCTCACTACCTATCAATTTTACTTTACATCCTGTCCATCTATCTTCCCACAGTTCTTGAGGTTGTCAGGAAATTTTTTTGTTTGTTTGTTTGTCTAGTATGAAGTTGTATCCCCTTCTGTACATGAGTCCTAATTTCATACACTCATGAGGCCAGGTCTAATGAGTCTGGATATCCCTCATGCTCTCTGGGGATTAGAAGACAGCCAAGGTGATGACACCTTTTCCCTGCCTTTGGTATTCCATTCTAAACATAGTCAGTGCCTTTAACATTCCACTTTTGCCTGAATGTTAAGTACCCCTGCCTCCAGGCGGCTGACTCCTTGATGGGCCCGCCTGGCTATTGTCCCCCTTGGAGGGTTCAGGTCCTAAAACTGAACCCAGATCACCAGGTGTGAGCCCCTCATCACAGAGCAACCGCCAGCCTCCGCCTCCCAGAGCCACAGTCTGTCTGCTGCCCCTGCAGACCATAATTGCACCAGCCTCTCGGCAGACACATAACACCAGTGACTCATCGTGTGCGGCCGCAGGTCTTTTCTTCTCGCATTTCCCCATCTTCTCTTTGTGTGCCTGTGCGTTGGAACCCAAGCACAGAAATGCACGCCATGCCCAGTAGGCTTCTCATTAGGTTCGGCCTGTTCCCTGCTTGTTTGAATCTCTATGGATCTAGAATGTGCCGTCGACTGGTTTTAATTTGCTTCCAAGCTTTGTGCCAGCTGCAAATGAAATTGGGGTGTGTGTGTGTGTGTGTGTGTGTGTGTGTGTGTGTTTAAGTGTCTGAACTTCCCTGAAGCAGGTCCCTCACCTGCAGAATCGGACACGGTCGGGATCAGAGATGGTGCCTGTGATGGGAAGCCACAGAGGAGCTCTGAAAATGGCTGGTTGCTCTTTGAATTTCCCACCACCTCCCCGAATTGCTGGTGACAGCATTAGAAGGGACGAAGCCCCTGGCACCTCAGGAGACACTGTCCTTCCCAACCCTAATCATCACACAAAATGGCCTGCCCGATTATTCAAGTCTTCCAGTGGACATTTTAAATTAAAATGGGCTTATAACATCTCTAATCATCAGGGGAATGCATAGCAAAGCCGTGATAAGATATCACTTCACACTTGTTATTTTCTCAAAAACTAAAAACAGAACTACCATATGGTCTAGAAATCCCACTTCTGGTGTCCATTCAAAAGAAATGAAGGCAGGACCTCGAAGAGCTCTCTGCACTGCCGTATCCACTGCAGCATTACACACAATGGCCGGAGCCTACGCGGCCACCCACAGGGAGTGGATGAAGAAAATATGGTGTGATATACATGATGGGATATGATACAGCCTTAAAAACTAAGGGAATCCTGGCATTCGTGACCACCTGGATGAACCCAAAGGGTATTATGCCAAGTGAGATAAGCCAGACACAGAAAGACAAATACTGTATGACCTCGCTTCTGTGAAGAGTCTAAAACAAGTCACACTCACAGAAGCAGCAAGTGGAATGGTGGCTGTCAGGGGCTGGAGGCGGGGGGGAATGGGAGATGCTGATCAAAGGCACAGACTTTCAGTTATGCAGGGTGAGTGAGTTCTGGAGTCTTACTCTATAGCGCAGAGACTACAGAATACAGCTACCACAGCGTTGGATACTTGAACTTTGCTAAGAGGGTAGCTCTTGTGTTCTTGTTCTACACACACACACACACACACACACACAGACAGGAAATAGTAACTATATGAGGTAATGGATATTTTAAATAGTTTGAGGTAATCAGTTCACAATGTATACATACAGCAAAACATTACACTGTGCACCTTAAATATATATAATTTCTATTTGTCAATTATACCCCAATAAAGCTGAAAAAAACTGAATTGGCCTATTGGGTAATTGGGGTAATTTAGTTTCAAATTACCCCATCTAAATGTCGTCCACATATCCGTCTAATTAATTCTAAAATAACTTTACTTTCTTACGGTGTAGACAAAGCTCTCTGTCGAAGAGGGCAGATTAGTTATTTGTCTGATATGTCCCCCATCCTGAGCTTTACAAAGCTTTGACCTGTCAAAAATGTGTGGGAGTTGTCCAAAGCTGGGACCTCGGAGACTAATAAAAAATAGATGTAACCTAGAAAAACTATGCCGAAGAGCTCTGTTTATGTTAAAAGCATCTCTGAGATCTGCTTTTTCATCCCTGGTTTTTGTTGTTGCTGTTGTGTACGTGGCTGGCTTCCCTGTCATTTCCTGATGCCAGTTTTGAAGCTGGGAGGCTCCGAGCCGTTTTCTTGAACAGAAAGAGTTCAGAGTGTCCAGTGTCCACTTTTGAGCTGCAGCCGGTTCCTCCTGGTCTCTGGAATGGCTTTTGCAGAACCTGCCTTCATGGCTCTCATCTCACCCCCTGTCAGAGCGCCTGGGAGTGAGAGCAGAAAGGAGCCTGTGAGGTATTTATGACCTGCCGGCTCTGGTCAGGGTCCTGCCTAAGGCCTTGGTGCTGACTGGTGCTGCACACCCAGCCCTGGCTCATCAGGGCTCTGGAGGAATGACAGAGACTCTTCAGACAAGTGTCACTGACTGTGGACTCCAGGCTTCGGGAGGAGCTGCTGGTCAGGGAGGAATGACGTGGGTGCTGGCAGATTGGGGTGGGGGAAGGAGGGCCCTCCTGGAGACAGGCTATTAATTCACCCTGTGACCTCAGCAAAGTGCTTCACTGTCTTCCTCCAACTCATTTTGTTTCCAGGCTTCAAAGGGACTAAACTGCATGAAGATGTTAAAAAAAAGGAAAAAACAAAAACAAAACCTCTGGATTGCATGGAGAGAATGTTTTCAGCCCTTGAGGTTGAACAGAGGTAGGTAAACAGGGACCTGACACCCGTACACACAGATGAAGCGGATGTGCTGGCTGTTACAGAGCATTGCTGGGCCAGCATGGTACAGTCAGAACAGCTTTGGGGTCAGAATAGCAGAGCCACACCCTCCTGCATCTCCAAGCACAGGGTGCTGTGGTTTCAGAGCCTCTGGTGGCCGAGCAGGGAGGGAGGCAAGCCTGGATTTCTGAGGGTCACCAGGCGGGCAAGGAGACATATTCAGGAGATGCTGTACTTTGGCTCCAGGCCGACAATGCTTATGTGAATGCTTCTCCATCCCAGGAGTGAAATGTGGGCTAGTCAGTTGACCAAGCTGGGCCTCAGTCTCCTCCTCGGTCAAAGGTCAAGAGGTTTTTTGTGATTACAGCAAGCATGTGCATCGGCGCTTGGCGCATGGCACCCTGGTGGGTGCTCAAATGGAAGGAACCTATTGGCATGTGCCAAAGTCTATGTTGATATTCTTCTGGCACATCACTGGTCCTAGTGCATGTGAGGGACTCAGGAACTGTTTTCTTTTCTTCTGTGTTTTATTCTTCTGACTTATAGTTACCCTGAAGCTTTAGTAAATCATTTTCTCTCCCCTGAGTTTCGCAGACTTTGCTCACCTGGAACTCCACTCCTCCTCTTCTTGCCCGCCTTCTGTCCTACCTCCTGGCTACTTTCTGCTCTTCTTCAGGTCTTGGATTTCCTCTCAGAAGGCTTACCTGAGTGCTTGGGCCCACTGGCTCCAAAGCAGGCTAGGTGTCCAGTCTCTGCACTCACTGCCACCTAGTCCTCATGGTACCACCTTAGTCCCCCACCGACCCTGCGTGAGGCCTGAGCTGACACCTCTCATCGCTCCATCTCCTTTGCTCACTGCAGTGCTTGGCACACAGCAGGTACTCAATAAATGTTCATTAAGTGGAAGTGACTAAATACACGCTTAGGTTGCCACCTTGTTTTTGAAGTAATAACCCACACAGAATGTGCTGCCAAGTGTCCCAGAAAACGCAACTTCGACAGGGACAAGGTGTCTGGTTGCTGTGTCACAAGGCAATCTCACACTCACCTCTCACTAGTGCAACGGGCCCGTCCCACAATTACCGGGATGCTTATCTTGTTCACTAATTAGCCTATATCTTCCCCAGATGGAGCTGGGTGGAACACATGGTTCAGATGTTTGGGACCAGGAACCAAAGTGGAAATCAGCACCTCTTGCTGGGATGAAATGTTGGATGAACGAAGGGATGCAGTGGAATATCTGGGTTAGGAAGGTGCACTGTTCCTTTTCTAGCACCGGCTGCTACTGCCAAAGAGGGCCCTTTTCAGCCTTGAGTCACAGCTGCTTCAAGGCACAGGGACACTATTTTGTAATCACCAAATAAGAATGCTGGCCCATCCCCATGTTCACATGCCCAAATCTTGCTCATTCTTCAAGGCGCAGCTCACGTGCAAGGCCGCACAAGAAGTGCAGCACAGGGATCGGCATCTAATAAGCATTTAATATAGGTTCGTCGTTACTGCAATGCCACCACCTCCCAAAAGCCTCACTGGCTCCTGCCTTTCATTTGAAGATCCCCACAGTTATAGCTTGACCAGTGTTCTGGAACCTTCTCTAGCTTTGGGAAGCAGCAAAATATAGCGGTTCAGGCAGAAAAGGGCTTAGGGTGAGGTTCTGTTACTTGCTCACTGCGCTGTCTCCGAGAAGTTCTTTATAGGCCCTTGGACGCTTGGCTGTCAGCAAGAGTGGGATACCAATGAGCCCTCTTTGAGTTGCAGGTGAAAACACTCTGGCCTACATTGGCTTAGCAGAATGGAAAGGTATGTGCCCACATGACCAGAAGGTGCAGGGACAAACCTGGTTTCAGGGGTGACTGGGGGATTGGAGTCATATATCATTGATGTGCCTTCTTTTACCATAGTCCCTGTCCTTTACTGATTGGACTCCAACAGGGCGTCCTATGGGAGATGATGGTTATAGCGGCTTCACTTCTACATCCCCCAGGGAAGGTCCAGTGAGAGTCAATCTGAGTCCCCAAGGGGCATATCAAAGTGGCGGTTTGAGTCAACAAATTTGTCTGGGTCATTTTGTTATCCACCCACCCCTGAACCAATCTCTGTGGCAAAGGATGAAATATGCTGATTGGCTCAGACTTAGAGTCCACAGTGGAGTGGGCAGGGACCAGGGGACTTCTCTGAGCTTTCTGAGTGTGATGGAGGAGCCACCCCCCACTTCAACACCAGGGAGCCCCACCCTTAAGCGATAACATTTCTAACAGCCAACTCGTACGTGTTACTCACCCAGGTCTTGTCCTCAGTGGTAGCTCATTGATCTTGACCATGGTCCTCTGAGATGCGTGTTGCTGTTATTTGCATTTGACTGAGGAGGAAGCTAAGGTACAGAGATGTTACGGGGTTTTTCCAAGGTCACTCAGTAGCTGAGTGGTACAAGGTGTAAATCCAGGCATGGTTGTAAAGTCCCTGCTCCTAGTCATTTCCCTTTAGTATCTATCATAAGAGGGAGATGGATAATAAAGTAATGGGCAAATAGAGATACAGTGTTTTGGCCCTGGCTGGTGTGGCTCACTTGGTTGGAGCATCGTACAGTTAACTGAAAGGTCGTGGGTTCAATCCTGGTCAGGGCACATGCCTAGGTTGCAGGTTCAGTCCCCAGTCAGGGCATGTGTGAGAGACAACCAATTGATACTTCTATGACTCTCTCCCTCCCCTTGTCTCTGAAGTCAATAAGCATGTCCTTGGGTGAGGATTAAAAAAATAATGAAAAAATAAAAAGAGCCATATTTAAAAAAAAATTGTACTATTCTAACTATAAAGTAATGTAATGTAGTTTAGTGTAGTATAATGTAATATAATAGAAGATAAGATAATGTAACAGCATTGTAGATCACATCATACTGTGGCACATCACATCGCAGGCCTTGGTCAGGGGCAGCCCCTCTCTGTATCCGTCTCAAGAACGTCCATCACCAGCGCGGAGCATCAGAGATGTTGAGTGAGTGCGGGCCAGCTGACCAAATGAATCATTTTACTGGTGCGGCATGAAGCCTTTGATCTAAAAACCCTGTTTCTGCCACGGCAATGTCATCGTTATTACAGTCCTGTACTTGTCTCAGTCCTACAGGAAGAACGCATGATTAAAAGGATGAGACTGAAGACAGATCAGGCGAGCTGAACTCTGAGACCGCAGCTCCCTGGCTTCCCGTGCCGGCGGGCGCCTACAGGTGTCAGGCAGAACCCGCTCACCTTGGACTGTCTACCTGACACTCTCGGTGGGAGCCACCCCGGGAAGTCGGTGTCACAGGTGGGTGGAAAAGGCGTGAGGTGGCAAATGCAACTGACTCAGAGCTTTCGTAACTTGGTCTTTTCCTTTTCTTTAAAAAAAAAGTCTATTTTTTGAAATTTCTGTGACTGTCCCTAAATCGGCGTTTGCCGCACGCAAACATGCGTGGGTCCGTCTGCGTGTCAAAGTGCTCAAGATGCACCGAGAAGGGAAGACTGTGTGTCTTGTTCCACCATGAGCGTGCCCCCCGCCCCCCCGGCCTTCTCACGAAGTAGACGGACGTGAGGGCCAATAAAAACCCCTGGGTTTCCTCGCTCCATTCCTCCTCCCCCCTTGCAGCCTCATGCTATTTATGTGAGGCATTTAATCAAAGCACAAAACAATTCCAATAATGCCCCTGAAATTACGTTCACATCTGCAATCAGAATTGCTAATATCTTGCCTCCCTCTACCATCCTGGTGTCATCTGATTTCGGTTCCCTTGTGGTGACTCAGAGTCTAGTCATTAACATAACACCCACCAACTTTATTAAAATTTACTGTCAGAAAGGTCTGTTTCCAGAAACTCCCTGAGCCGAATGTAGCTGCTGTGCTGGCCTCTCTTGGCCACTGCACAAGTCCATGCGTTTTCTTTGCAGTGGAATCACTTCCCGAACGTGGGCACCGCCATGAGATTGCTGTCCATACTTACGTGACCGGGAGGTAAGGCTTGGCTTAAAGTTACCTGCTGGCAGAATCCAGCTTCTAGAAGCTAGCACTCGATTGCCCACACGCTTACCCTTTCAACGACACTGACGTGATTTCGTAGTGATGTAATAATAATGGTGATGATAACAACAGCAACAAGAAGAAGAATAAAGCTACCAGTGCACAGGGAATACTGGGGAGAGACAAATAATGCAAACTCCGTGAAGAAGCAGTAATTAAAATCCGGAATACAAAAAATTCTGTGAGACACATGTTCCAGTTTCTCGCACAATTAAATAACCTGGAAAAGACAAAGGTGGTGGTGGGGGAGGACTACTGCAGTGAAAACAGACCGTCCTTTAGGAGGTGGCTCAGAGCAGAGAGGCGGCAGCAGACCAGTGAGAGAGCTGGCTGGAGGGGGAGGCAGGGGCGCGAGCTGCCCACACTGCATTCCCTTCCCACGCCTCTCCTTTCCCCCCGGCCGACCCTTACCTGTGAGAGCCCCTTCGCGGGGAGGCCTTCTTCGACGGACTCTCCTAATCCAAGAGGGTGGTGTATTTCCACTCTCTGCTCAAAGGGCCCCCTGGCATGACTTTTGAGACTGAGCATTGCAATTATACGTCTTTTCAATTAAAAAAAGGAGGTAAGTGTAAATCCACATCCAGTTAAAAGGCCATACGCAGTATTATTTACTGCACATGTAGATTCGTTTGACCACTGGCGTCACTGTCGCCAAGACACGGGACATTTCTGTCACAACAATCCCCCCTGCGGGCCTTTTGAGTGGCCTTTTTCTTACCTGTTTCCCTCATCATTCCGTGAGCACCACGAGCCAGAGGTCTTATGTTTAATCTCTGTGTCCTGGTTCGTGCTAACTCCAACCGGCACATGGCTTTTAGGGGGCCCCACATGACTGCTGTGGAATAGATTCAAATTCTGCCATGGTAAGAGAGGAGGGAGTTAGGAATACTATCTAGAAAGGCTTTGGGGAAGAGGGAGGGAAAACATCCCAAGCAGCAAAGTACTAAAGAGATACAATGTATCAGACCTTTTCCTCCTAGAGGATTGTGAAGGTCTCAGCCGTAACCCACCTTTATATTGCCCTAACCGATCCTCTGTTCAGGTGATAACGAAGAGAGACTTGTACCAGGGAAGGGATGCATTTCTCTGTGAAATGAAGCCTGAACACCAGACTTTTATTTTCTGGTTCTGATGTGCTTCCTTTGGCATCACCTCTCCGTGAATATGGGGGCTTTGAATTCGATGCACTCGAAAACCGTGGGCTGGGGACGCGTTAGGCCTGGTGGGTGAGCAGTCTGTGCAAGGCATCAGAGGCACTGGCGAGAGCCTCGGGGTTTGTCTCCTCTAGACGATCTCATGGCAGACTTGGCAGAGGGCAGGTTTTCTTTCACTGGGCTTCGCCCAACTCTTGTGTTCCGTCCTGCTAGTGGCAGAATCTTCAGAAAATGTCTTGGAGTAGCAGGGATCCTTAAATGATCCCCAACTACCTAGTCACGTGCTTCACTGATGCCAGAAGACGCCTGTGAGACTTCTGACTTCCAAGGTTTTATTGAATGAACAAATGTCAGAGCATGCCAAGCCCAGGACTTGACCAGCTGACCGTTTATTGAGATCATTAAGTGTCAGGTCTTCACGTAAGGAGAGAGCTTGTTGTATGTCAGCCTTTGCGCTAGTTGTGTAGGTAAAGGGATAAAAAAATCCTTTCACTCATCCATACATCATTCCATCTGCCTGCCTGCCCACCCTTCCACCCATCTATCCAATCATCCATCTATCCATCCACTCATCCACCCATCCATCCACCCATCCATCCATCCACCCATCCACCCATCCATCCATCCACCCATCCATCCACCCATCCATCCACCCATCCATCCACCCATCCATCCACCCATCCACCCATCCACCCATCCATCCATCCATCCATCCACCCATCCATCCACCCATCCATCCACCCATCCATCCACCCATCCATCCATTCATCCATCCATCCACCCATCCATCCACCCATCCATCCATCCACCCATCCATCCACCCATCCATCCATCCATCCACCCATCCATCCATCCATCCATCCACCCATCCATCCACCCATCCATCCATCCACCCATCCATCCATCCACCCATCCATCCATTCATCCATCCATCCATCCATCCATCCATCCATCCATCCATTTTTAGGTCCAGAGTGCAAAACCTGTTTAGCAGCCCCAGGGGACCTATGAAAGGCCACTGAGCCAGCAGTAGTCTTTTGGGTAGGTCTGCAATATCTTCTAGACACAAACCTATCTTTGCCTCTTAGACACAACAAGAACACTGACCCCTCAGAATATGTGTGGGAGAGCTTATCGGTGACAAAAAGAATGAATGTCACCCCCCCCCAACTCCCCGCTGTAAGGAGGGGATAAACTTGAGCATCTGGACCGAAAAGGAAACCAGTGCTGTGGACATGATCCCCACCTGCCCCCGACCCCCAGCACTTAATGGATTTTATGTTTTGGTTTCCCAGAAGTGAAGACCTCATGGAATACTCTTCTTTTCCTCACTGGTATCGATTCATATCTCCAGGGGGATCGGCTGCACATGGAATGCGCTGTGATTGTCTCGTTTCACCAGGGGAAGAATGAAAATCTCCTAACAGCCTCAGCAGGGCTTCACCGGGTTTCCCCAGGATGGAGCACAGCTCACGGCTGATGGAAGTCCACGCCCCTTCTCGCTGGCCTCCCTCTCGTGAAGGCCAACTGAGTTGGATGGAACTGAATATTCTCTTGAGGGTTTGAAGGTATGTGTTCTTGAAGCCAGTTTATGGGCCCAGGTGCTCCCCTGAAACAACAGAGGGTAGGTACCGTATGATGAATGCTCCCATCATTCTGTGCTGCGCTGATCTTCTCCAGCTATTAGAAGTAAAATATAACTGGCTGGTCACCCAGTTTCTCCAAATACAGTGATACAGTCTCATGGCAAGTGCCCTCATTGCAAACTCTTGTCTATACAGATTCTGCACAAATCTTTACATTATGCCTCTGGAAGCTGGACAGAGAAAAGGCACAGTGAGCCAATGAAAGGGAAGGAGAAAAGATACAGGGAAAATAAAGCCAGGACTTAAAATTGTGCCCTTGCTGGTGTCTTACAGAAGCAGAGACACTGTGACAGGTGTGAGAAAGAAGGACGTCCCTGGATCAGGGCGCAGTGCTGTTTTCAAGTTCACTGGTATGAAGTTGTTACCGCCACATATCTTTACATGACTTATGAGGTTAAGAGAATTATTACCGACAGCATATTCAGAGATAGGGCTTTTCTCATTGCTCTAAGGGAGTCGACACTTACATCCTGTCTTAACAAACCCTGATGGATGGGATGTTCGGGATCGTTTCGGAGAGTCATTTTGGCTCCCGAGGCTCTGTTTCTTCTCTCTGAAATGTGGGAGCCATGTCAAAGGGCCACAGAACTGTCATCCTCCAAGTCTACACATCTATACATGTATCCCTGTTTTCCAAAGCTACTTCTGTTTCAAAGCACGTGGCTGTGTCCCCACACAGTGCCTGGCACATGGTAGCCAGAAGTGACACCTGCTTTCCATCTTATTTCGTCTTGGGAGCCCCCGGGAGGTGTCAGTATACCTGCTGGAGTATCATCTCTGCTGCAGAAACAGTTTGTTTCACTCAAATTATCTACCAAGACATATGTTATCATCATAGCTAACACTCTTCTGAGCAGTGCTTTCGAATTTCCATGGGAAAGAAAAGTCTTGCCCAAGTCACAATGGGGATGGGCAGGGACAGGACCGGATCTCTCTTGACTTCTGGTCACGAGACGGCATCGCCTCTCTTCTTCATCCTCACTGAGATGTAGCGTACTTAGGTACAAATTGGGCTCCCCTGGCTCTGGGAGGCTCCCCTACAGCCGAGCTCTGTGAAGTCTGGCACCTGCACTCAATCAATAGGGCTGCTGCTAAACCATCAGTTTATGGAGAGGATTCATAGAAATGTGTGACTTGGCTTGTTTTTGTTTCTGAGAATCAGAGGTTAGTGCTTGTTCCTTGGAGGAAGTTCTGTGGCTCAGAAAAAAAGAGAAAGAAAATCATATATACCAAAATGACCTTTTCCCCCAACTGTTGTGCAGAGCACAATGCTAATTAGCCAGGTTCTAATTGGGCTGGAGACCGAGAGCAATGGGAGCATCACTCTGTGAAGATGACACAGTCCGCAGGGTCCCCTGCTCGTTCTCTCGGCGACTCCTGCATTAAGTGTGTTCCGTTTGCTGGCCACAGGCTGGCTGTGCAGACAGAATGGCTTGGCAGCTCCTTCCGGGCCTGTGAGCCAGGAGCCAGGAAGTTAGGAGGGGCCCTGGGATGGTGAGGGAGACCACAGCTTGGGTTCCCCCTTGACGCACCCACCCTGGCTTTGCCCAAGCAGGAAGAAAAAAAATCACAGACCCACTGCCGGTCAACCGTGTTGGGCCACCTGCCAAGGAGGTGGGGGCAGCAGGGCCTGGGAAAGGAGGACATGTGTGAGGCAGCAGCCCGGGCACCGGAGCCTCCCCAGGCGCCGAGTCACCGAGAGGGCTGTGGGGGAGTGTTGCGGGGAGAGGAGCCTGGGCTCAGACCAGCCTGCGGTGAACATCCTCCCACACCGAGGAGCCGAGATGACTGCACAGAGCGAGGGCGGGGGCGCAGAGTGTGGGGAGGAGGTGCAGGCTTGGGAAACAAAACCCGCCTCCTCTCTGTCTCCCCTGATGGGAAGCCGGGGCCAGCAGAGGGGGCTGGTGGAGGGCACAGAGCCACCAAAACCACTTGGCTTTTGGTTGATTGGACTTGAGGTCTAACCTAAGCCTTGAGACATCGCAAGAGAATAACCCCAGGTCCTTTAATTCTAGTGCAGACTTTCAGAGATGGTGTTTGAATATAAGAAAAGGAAACAATGATCCAAGTCTCTTGTGTTACTTTCCAAAACCCCTGATGCATGGGTTCTGGGGTACCCGACAAAAGACCACGTGCATCTCATTAACCTGCCTCCCTTAATAATCTTCATAACGTGCCCACCTCCATGTCACCTGGCAAATACTTCTTTTACAGAGCTTATCATGGACTATTATCTGTCATCTTCTCCATATACCTGTGAGCGCTTCAGGAGCAGGGATGGAATCTTATCCTCACATCTCCACATGAGTATAGTAGAAAATGGTTTATTACATGAATAAAGGGTGAATGAAAAGTCAATAACTTTGGAAATTAGATACTGCTAAAAATATAAGAGAGGGTGTTTCGTGGGTGGCTTCTGGGACCAGAGGGAATTTCCTTGTCTCAGGATCCCACGAGGAAATTTGACTCCTGGCCCAGACTTTCACACTCCTGAGAAGGCAAAGGCGTGCTTGGTATTTGTCACTACCATTAAAACCAGATAAAAATGCACCCACCAAAATAAATAAATAAATAAATAAATAAATAAATAAATAAATAAATAAGAGGAGGACTTGCTATCTAATGTTAATGAATTATGTGTTTGTGGGTCTTTTTTTGGTTTTCCTTTTTTTAATCTGCGTTTCTCATCAGTACAAAAGAATGTTCTTCTTTTTTTTTTTTTACTTTACCAGAAGTCACACTTGCGTGTATACAAAAAGCTAAGATAAGTTTCTAAGTAAAGGAAGCAATACAGTTGTCCCCTTGTGCATTGACCGCAACATTGGGGAAGCCATTTGCATTAATATGCACCACATCCTTTCGATGAAAAACCTGATGCATTTTCAGTGCTTTGTTGGCCTGAGCCTGTGACCCCCTCCCTGACCCAGCATCCATGGGGTCAAAGGTCTTCTGGCAATGAAGAGTAAAAATGTCACCAAGAAGTTGGTGTTTTGATTTCTCTCAAGAACCAAAATCTCCTCCAAAGCATTCCCCCATTGCTTTAGACTCCAGTGAGAAGAAAGAGGTAGCATTTGAGAAAACCATCAGGCAGTTGTTAAAGGGGACAGCAGAAAGGAATTGTCACGAGCCTCTGTAGCAACATCAGGGGAAGTGCCACGCAGCCAGGCTTTGCTGTCCTCCTTCCCTCCCTCATATGACATCTGTCTCCAGAGTCTGTGGGTCCCATCTTGAGTCCACCCTCAGCCTTCCTCACCCATCTTTTGTGCATGCATCACCTTTTTAAAACAGCTTTATTGGGATATAATTCAGATAGTAAACAATTCAACCCAGTGTGCAATTTCATGTCTTTAAAATACTGTCACGGATTTGTGCAATGGTCACCGTTCTCTAATTCTGGCACATTTTCATCCCTTCCCCCACAAACTGTATCCCTTAGCAGTCACTCTTCATTTCCTTTCCCCCAGCCCCCAGTAACTGCCACTCTAGTCTGTGTCTGTGGATTTGCCAGTTCTGGGCACTGAGTATAAATGGAACCATGGAAAATGGGGTCCTTTGTGGCTGGCTTCTTTCATTTAGCATAATGTTTCTCAAGTTCATCCATGTCATAGTACAAATCAGTACTTTATTCCTTTTTATGGCTGAGTAATATTCTGATGTATAGATGTACCACATTTGGTTTATTTGCTTATCTGTCAATGAACATCTGTGTTAACTTCCCCTTTCGGCCCACTATGCATGATGCTGCTATGAACACTGTATACAATTTGTTGTGCAGACACGTATTTTCATTTGCCTTGGGTGTATACACCTAGGAGCAGAATTGTAGGGGCATGTGATAAGGCAATGTTTAATTGTTTGAGGAACTGCCTGCACTCCACCTCTTCCATTTTTTCCCCAGGACTGCACAATGGCCTCTTGAGTGTTTTCTTTGCCCCCAGAGTTTCCCCCTCCTTCCTGCCTGGCCTCCTTATCACAGTGGCAGGGAGCAAAGTCTCTCTTCCACCAGGCACCTTTAGAACTTGCATAGCGAACAACACAGACAAAGTACTTTGAGCACAAGCTGGGTCACGTTACTTGTTACACACTGATCAAAGTAGTTCGTTACCCTGGAATGAAAGCACAGCTCCCAAGTAAGGCCTAGAAGGTCCGGAAGGGCCTCCTCTGCCTCTACTTTGCCCTCCCTCTTAGTGTTCTCCAGTCTGGCCTTCCTTGGACCCTGGCTCTTTCCAGCACTGAGCCTTTGCATGCAGCCTCTATTTTGTTTCCTCTGCCTGAATTAAAACGTGTCATTCTTCACAAAGCTGGACAAATGAATGAGCACATCCATAGAATCCAATGCATTCAATGTATTAACATGCTCAAGGCCACACAGCTGGTTGATGGCAGAGTGCTCCTCCCCCAGATTCTCATATCAGTGAGTGTTTTGTTTGTTTTGAATCTCTCCTAGATGATCCCCCAATGCATGAACCTATTCTGAAGACCTTCTCCTACCTCTCTGCCAGGGTTTGTGGACCTCAGCATTTTCGGCATTTGGGATCATGTACTTCTTTGGGGTGGGAGCTCTCTTGTGAACTGGAGGACACATTTATGCACCCCTGGTCTCCACTCACTGCCTGCCAATAGCAACCACCCCACGTCCTCAGCCGAGATGACCTCAGATATATCCAGACACTGTCAGAGTCCTTGGGGGTGGGGGGAGGAAATTGTCCAGCTGAGAACCACTGCTCTACAACCATTGTCTTTTCAGTGAATGTTGGTGCTGAACGTAGCCAAGGGCATATCCAATCACAACTCGGCAGAGAAAGACTTTTTCCCTGTTTCTGTAATAAGGCGGGAAATAAGACCTATATGAATTTAGAGGACATTTTGTCAATAAAGTTGCAATTCAAAAGAATTTGTGATAGATATGCACT